AATAGCGGGCGAATCGGCGTCGGCACGGGCGCGGGGACCGCGGGACGCGGCGGAGCGATGCGCGTCGTCGTCGGTAGCGGGACGAGCTCCGTCGGTGGTGCCCTGGGAATCCAGGCCGGCCGCAGTACGGGGGCGACGGGAGGCGGTGCGGGCGTGGTGTCGGGGTGCGGAGTGGCAACGAGCAGCGGGCGCGTGGCGGTCTGCAGTACGAACGGCGGGACCGGCGGGAGGAGCGGTCGCCTGGCTTTCAGCTCGGGGACCGGGGTGACGGGAAACAGCGGCGCTGTGCTCCTGGGCTCTGGGGTGGCGACGGCGGGTCGCGGCGGCCGCATCTGCGCGAGCTCGGGGAGCGGAACGTCGGGCTCCGGCGGTGGCCTGGCTGTGTATGGTGGGCGCCTGACGATCGCGGCTGGAGGCAAGGGAACCGGAGGATGCGTGGTCGTCCGGAGCGGCGAGGGGACGGTGTCGTCGAGTGGGTCAGTCGCGGTGTCGAGCGCGAACAGCGGGGCGGCGGGGACGAGCGGGTGCCTGGTGTTCAGCTCGGGGACGTCGAAATCCGGCAACGGCGGGGTCGTGAGCCTTGGATCCGGCGTCTCGACCGGTGGACGAGGCGGCGGGGTCTCGGTGGTCGTCGGGAGCGGGACGAGCGGGGCGGGCGGAGCGGTCTGCGTGTCGGCGGGTCGCAGCACGGCGATGACGGGTGGGGCGTGCGCGATGGCGAGCGGCGAAGGAAGCGCGAAGAGCAGCGGGAGCGTGAGGGTGGCGACCGGGAACGCGGGAACCGGCGGGTCGAGCGGGCGGCTGGTCTTCAGCTCGGGAGTATCGCAGGCGACGGGCAACTCGGGTGCGGTGCTGCTGGGCTCTGGAGCGGGGACCGCCGGTCGAGGCGGGAGCGCTAGGGTGAGTGTCGGGAGTGGGACGAGTGGAGTCGGCGGGTCGACGGCGCTGCGCTCCGGTCGGAGCACGGGGACGAGCGGAGGGTCGGTGCTCGCGAGGAGTGGCGAGGGCACGGCGACGAGCAGCGGGGTGATGAGCATCTCGACCGCGAACGGCGGGACATCGGGGGGCAGCGGTGCTCTCGTCTTCACGTCGGGGTCTGCGAAAACGGGGAATAGCGGGCGAATCGGCGTCGGCACGGGCGCGGGGACCGCGGGACGCGGCGGAGCGATGCGCGTCGTCGTCGGTAGCGGGACGAGCTCCGTCGGTGGTGCCCTGGGAATCCAGGCCGGTCGCAGCACGATCGCTTCCGGTGGGAATTCTTGTCTGCTATCTGGTGAGGGAGCTTCATCTAGCAGCGGCAGTATTTTTGTCGCCTCTGCAGATAGCTCTACCGCCGGATGTAGCGGTCGGCTTCTTTTTACATCCGGTACTTCGAAGGCCGGCAACACTGGTAAATTACATTTTCAGACTGGCGTTGCAACAGCTGGTCGAGGCGGCCATGTCGCTTTTAGTGTCGGAAGTGGTACAAGTGGCACTGGCGGCATATACTCAGCTTGTGCAGGAAAGTCTACCTCGGCAACTGGCGGAGTTGCCTTTCTTGCATCGGGCCTGGGCGCTGTGTCCAGCTCTGGGATAGTCTTCATTCGGACTCAAAATGCTGGTGCATCCGGATGCAGCGCGCTCCTTGCCTTTAGCTCGGGATCGTCCAAGGGAGGAAACTCTGGCAGTGTGCGATTTGGCTCGGGCACGACGACCTCGGGTCGAGCTGGATTGGTGACTGTTTCCATAGGGAGCGGGAACAGCGGGGCGGGTGGCGACCTTGGTGCCAGCGGTGCCCGAGGGTTGTCGCTAACTGGCGGGGCGGTTTATCTTCATAGCGGAGAGGGCACCGTGACAAGTAGCGGGTGCATACATATTGCAACTGCAAATGGCGGTGTGGGCGGATCAAGTGCGCGGCTCTCGTTCAGCACGGGGACTTCAGCAGGTGGCAATACTGGAGCAATTTTCCTCGGTTCTGGAGCTTCCACGGGCGGGCGCGGGGGGCTTATCACCTTAGCCGTCGGCTCTGGCACGAGCGGTGTCGGCGGTCATGCCTATGCTAGTGCTGGCGCTAGTGCTTCGAGCTCTGGTGGTGTTGTTACTACCGTGAGCGGGACTGGTAGCGCGACCAGCAGTGGTGCTATCAGTGTCAGTACGTCAAACGCTGGGAGCTCTGGATCCTCGGGGCTGCTTCTATTCGCCACGGGGACCACGAGCTCGGGCAATAGTGGCGCGCTCAGCTTGCTTACTGGCGGCGCGTCGGGCGGTGATGGTGGTGACATAGCAATGAACGTCGGTGCTGGAAATTCGGGCGTTGGTGGACTTATTACTATGTCTGCTGGTCAAGGTGTGGGGGGGGGGTCAATTTCAATTTCTGCGGGCGCGTCCAGTGGAACGGGCGGAGTTGGCGGTGTTGCGACTCTCATGGGTGGCACAGCATCAGCGGCCACAGGCGGTCTAGCACTTGTGGCTAGTGCACTCGGTGCATCTGCGAGTAGTGGATCAGTGGCCGTGCTAAGTGCAAACGTGGGTACGGCAGGTAGTAGCGGTCGTCTGGTTTTCAGCACGGGCATCAGCTTAACTGGAAACAGTGGTTCTATTTCCATTGGATCCTACGGCAGGACGCGGTGGAAGCATATGCACTTGCCTTGGGAGCGGCACATCAGGCACCGGCCGTTCAATAGCCATGCGTGGCGGACGGTCCACAGTGTCTACCGGGGGAATCTTAGCAATCCGTGGTGCTGAGGGTACAGCGACTAGTAGTGGCGCGATCGTGATGACCAGCTTCAACGCTGGTGTGTCTGGTGCCAGCGGTTACCTTTCGTTCAACTCGGGCACGAGTCGGTCTGGTAATAGTGGTGCCTGCATCATGGGGACGGGATCGGCTACAGGCGGCATATCCGGGGCAATACGGATAGCTGTTGGTAGCGGTACGAGTGGTGCGGGCGGCGCTCTTCAACTTTCTGCAGGTAGCGGACCCGCCCTCACTGGAGGGGCAGTTTACCTACACGGCGGTGAAGGGACCACGACAAGCAGTGGTTCTATTTCTCTGAATAGCGCGAATGGGGGGACGGCTGGAGCTAGTGGCCTCCTAATCTTTAGCTCTGGAGGGTCGAAGCTGGGTAACAGTGGCCATCTGCACCTTGGAAGTGGAGCTACCACCGCCGGGTCTGGTGGCACGGCACGTTTGGCTGTAGGCCATGGCACGAGTGGTGTGGGTGGCAGCATGTTTTGCACTGCGGGTCGCAGCGCAGTGCTGACGGGGGGCCACTTGGGCCTTCTGTCCGGCGAAGGAACTGCCTCGAGCAGTGGCACAGTTGTTATTCTAGGCTCCAACACCGGTATATCAGGAGCAAGTGGGCATCTTGTGTTCAGCAGTGGCAGCTCTGCGGGCAATAGTGGCGCTCTTTGTTTTGGAACAGGTGCCACGACAGCTGGTCGAGCTGGGCATGTTTCAATTTCTGTAGGCAGCGGAACTTCAGGTAGCGGCGGTCGTATCGTGCTACTAGCTGCGCGGGGTGCAATCTCCTCCGGCGGGGTCGTTTTACAGCATAGTGGTGAGGGCACTGCCACGAGCAGCGGTAGTGTGATCATCACAAATGCGAATAGCGGCACATCTGGCACTAGTGGGCGGCTTATCTTTAGCTCGGGAAGTGCTCTTTCTGGCAATAGTGGAGCTGTTCTTGTTGGATCGGGAGCGGCGACCGGCGGTCGCGGTGGGCTCGTAAGCCTGTCCGTAGGAAGTGGAACTTCAGGTGTCGGCGGTTCGCTCTATTTACGTGCTGGGTCTGTTTCTGGCAATACTAATGGTGGTGCTACATACATCAATGCAGGACATGGCTCCGCAAATGATGGCCAGGTTTACGTGAGACATGGCACGTCAGCTATCATCTCTATTTCGTCAACTTCCTTCTCCGCATCCCACACATCTGGTTCAGTGGCCGCATCATCTGGAATATCGATTGCAAGTGGCGCAATTGTTACACTTAGTGGTGACTCTGGAGTCACATTCTCTTCCAGCTATGTGTATGGTTTCGAACGAACCACATCCGCTGCTACGGTATCTAGCGCGAGCGCCACGGTAAACACAATGGGTGGGATCCTAACAAGTGAATCCAGCTCCCTTGGCTCCGGTAGTTCGGAGACCATCACGCTATCCAATTCAAGAGTGACTGCTACCAGCATCTTATGGGTAACTGTCAAGACCAGGTGCTCGGGAGGCTATGTGACAGTTGCCAGTGCGACTGCGGGCAGTGGTACTGCGACGATCGTAATTTACAACCTCGGCTCTTCTGCTTGCTCAAGCACTTACCAGCTCTTCTTCCTGGTACTGAACTAGGCAGTATACATCTTTGAAGATGGAATTACTGAGCTATATTGAAATGGCGGTTGGGCAAAATATTTGGGGCGCAGCGAAGGTGCTTCCACTGGAGTGTAGTCACTGTGGCGCCGAGTCAATATTGAGCTATCAAAGTGGCTTGTACAGCGGGCTGAGATTCGGCCCCGCAGTCTATCATGCGCCTGAAGTAGAGATTCCTGACAACGTCATTGCGACTTCATCGCTGCAACATGAAATTCGACTCGAGAAAGGAGGTCACAATTATCGTGCTAGATTGAACTGCGACTTTCAGGTGCACCACATCTAACGAAGGTGTACCACTAAGAACCCAACTTCTTGGATTAATTCGCTTTATGGCCACTCTTGCGGCGGCCGCAGAGCCGCGGGCGGAGCCACTTTGAGGAGGGTCCTGTGCGGCTTTGCTCAGGGGGAGCACGAGTGTGTTCGGTGGCATGCCACTTAGCGATGTACTGGTTCTGTTGGACCTTACTCTGCTTTGGGTCGCTGTCTATCGTCGTCGCTAGAATGCGAGTGTAAGTAGACTTGCCATGATTTTTTTGCGCCTACGAGTCCGTGGTACTGGCACAGGCCGTGGCCATGCCCACATGAGATTCCCACAGGAGGATTGGGGGTCTTAGGGGGTAATGAGCAACGCGGGCCAAAGTGCCATATTCGCCGGGGTAGCGTCCAAAATACAGAGGGGGGTGATGGTGTTCACATCCCCGAACTATGGATATCGTGGTCACCGGTTGCCTGTAACTCCCAAATCGTGCCGACGCACACCCTCCCTCGAGCCAAAGTGCAGTCGCGGGGACCGTCCATAGCCCGATATATTAAAATCCGACGAGGTTTCCTAGTGCAGGTTGGCCACATGGCACTTTTTGTGGACCCACGCGTGCGCGCGCGAAGTGTGCGAAACAAAAAATTGAAACGAATTGTCCCACGTCCGTTGGACGTCCGTTGGACGTCCGTTGTGACCCCCGCGCGCGCGGTGGACGGAGGACCTCTATGAGGACCTCCCGCCGGGCGACCGCAAAACAATAGTTAATATTTCTATGGGCGCGTCTAGCCCTATGGTCGTTTCGCACACAGTGACTGGCCGGGCGTGGCACCGGTACCTCTTTGTGGTGGATTGGGGTATCCAAGCCCTTGCCCAAGAGGCGCCCGGGATAAATCCCGCGGTACCTTATGCCGGGTTCCTCGCTCGCGGGCCCGGCACCCACCCACCCACCTCCTGGCCAATCAGGGACCTCCTTTTCGGTAGTTACATTCAAGTTGCCGCTCGCCGAATCGCCACAACGCGCGCGCGCGGGACCGCGGACGTCGAACGGCCCGCGCCGGCCGCGGACGCGAGCGCGCAGCCGCCGAATAAAAAGAAGAAGAAGGCGCCGACGACGAGGCGCCCCGCGGCGGCGGCGAGCCGGGCCTCGAAGCGCACGACGAAAGCGCCCGACATCTACGAGGGCGACGTCTAGCGGAGCCGCCGCGCGGCGCGCTGCGCGGCGCGCGCGCGCGCGCGCGCGCGCGGGGCCTACCAGTAAGCACTCAGTACACCCTGCGATTTCCAAATCCGGGCCCCGGGCCCCACCCACCCACCTCGGCATGAGGTTCGAATCTTTTGTCCGTCGTGCGAATAAATTGTGTGTTTGGGTCTTGCCAAAAAATGAAACACGCGAAACAAGTCCAAGCGCAGAGAGACCGGCAGGTCTCGCTGTCTGCTCTCGCATTTCTTTTCTCGGAGCTAGTGCAATACCAGACAATTAAAATCTGCAGTGCTAGTGATTTAGAATGTGGGTTGGAACAAATTGGTCGTTCAGTTGGTACAAGGGTTATAGAACTTCTGTCATACCGAGATCGCCAAATCCGACGCGAGTTGAGCCTGATCGGTATATTGCAGGTTAGACATTCGATCTATCTCGATATCATAGTGAATGGTACACAGTTTATCTCTACAACTTGTTGGAAAGCCCTTTTCGGTAAGCCGGCAGACTCTCTTGAAAGAAGTACGGAAAATGACAATGAGTGTGCGTCGTTACTCTTTCGCCATGCTTCAGATAATCAACGCATGAACAGATATGGTTCACGATTCAGCGGCATTGACGAACCAATTTGTTTCTGTTCCGAATCATCTGGGCCAACTTAATTGTGCAGCATACATTGCCGGCATAACAGCAGGAATATTGGATGCTGCAAACTTTGTGAGTCATATGCTATATGATTTCTGACCTCTCCCAGTTGATAACCATACGTTATAGCCCGCTCGAGTCACCGCTCATAGCCTCTCCCCTGCCCCTGGTTTGCTTCATCTTTCCCGAATGTGGTTCATGTGGATACACACTTAGGTACCAAAGAAAAGACAGTATTCTTGATCCGTTTTCTGGATCCTGGGACGGGGGAGATGGCCTCTTGTTGACAACGCAACTAGGGACCAGACGATACTCAGATGGCCATCTTGAAGGGGGGGGGGGCACAGAGAAGATAGCTTGAGCTGAGCCTACTAATATCATTGGGCCGGCATACAGCACCATTCTACAGCGGACGCAGCCCCATTGTCGGCTCGTGCGATGGACCAACGAAATCCCCCCCTAGAGAGCTCTCTCTAGTTAGAGGAATATGAGAGTATCCCTAGTTAGGCCCCTCCTCTCTCCCCTCGTACTTTATTTCTCCACGGTTTATGCTAAGGGAAATTACGGGGCTGCACCTGACAAGGGAATTCCTCGTGGTCAGTATAGTGAACTTGCGAGAGGGGTCTATCTGAATAGAGTACTAGCTTGATCACCGCCTTCGCTAGAAGTGAGATAAGAAAGAAGAGGAAGATACGGCGACGCGCATCTCCCGACCGAAGGTACAGTGAAATAAATGAGGCGGGTACGTACACTGCATTGCCGGCTTCAAGATGAACTAAAGGTAGATATGGAAGGCGGAAACCCCGCCACAGCTGTCTATAAGGCCTGACGCGGGGTTGTAATGTACTAAGGGAAGGAAGGCGGCCACTCGCAGGATAAGCAGCAGGAGCACCGTGGGGTAAAGTGCACTGCAACATCAAGGTGCTGTTCGCCAGGGCAGTAAAAGGCTGAATGAAATCTCTCTCCGAGAGTATCTAATTATCTCCTGCAAAGATACAAGATATAGAAGTGACCTCAATAAAACCCCGCCGTTCAGCGTTGGAATGGCCAACGCACTAACGTTACAATGGTCCTTCGGTTTTAGTAGAGAAATTCCGGGTGGAGTGATAACTTTGTGTGACGGGACTCGAAATGCACTGTTCTACGCTGCCGCACAGTCCGGAATTATCTATGATTATTCCGCTCGTCGACAGAACCTGCTGCAGGGACACTGTAACCCGATATCTTGTGCTGTCGTCTCGCCTGATAAAAAATGGTTGATAACAGCCGACATCGGTGGAGATTCACTAGTAGTGGTTTGGGACTCTGAGACAGGTAGTCCAGTTCGAACGATTTTCAATCCTCACACAAGAGGAGTATTGAGTATTGATGTCACATCAGATGCAACATTCTTAGCACTACTCTCGGGCTTTAAATCGCAAAGAGAGGGTGGGTTTCAAGAAATTTCTATCTGGGAATGGGCAAGTTCTAGGGATGTACCGATGCTGTCAGCACAAATTGCATCGGCGCAGCAGCACACGAGCATGCGCTTCAATGTATCGGATGTGCGGGAGCTCATCACTAACGGCGAATCAACAGTCTACTTTTGGTCCTGGGAGAATGCAATGACGTGCTATTCTCCACGCATCTCACGGCGCAACTTTAGGCAACCAGTTGGTAAGTTCACTGTGTCAATATTCCTCCCTGGCAGCACGCAGGCAGTCACAGCGACCTCAGATGGGTCGCTCATTCTATGGGATATGCCACTCGAACACGGTGGACAGTCGAATGCGAATGTGGAGCCTTCAAATAGTGCGATCACAGAAAGAATTGCAGTCAAGGTTATTCGGCTCTGCGAGGGAGCAATAAATTATCTGACAACAGTTGAAACGCATCTTGTCGTGGCTGGAAACGATGGCGCGGTCAGGATGTACGATCATCTATTCAGACTCGAGGCTTGGTTCGAAGATCTGAATGCAGGGCCGGTTGTGTCTGTTTCATTTGCAACAAAGAATATTGAAAGCTTGGTAAACCGGGGCCAAGCCCCACACACCACCACAGATGATAGTCAGGAGCAATTGAGATCCCTTCAAAGCAAGCTACCTGACTTCTTGGTTGGGACAAAATCTGCTACAATAATTCACCTCCATGCAAACTTATTTCAGGCTGTACTACCTGAAGATCGCAGGGGAACAGTCGTGGTGCAGGGGATGGCTGATGAAGTACATGGAATAGCATTACATCCTACGAAGTCCTACATCCTAATTACCTGCTACTCGGGGGGGCTGTATCTCTGGGACTATAATATCAAGACGCTCAGAATGGTGCGGCTTTTTGATCCTATGAAATTACGACCGCATTGCATCTCATTTGATCACGTGGGGCTTTCTTTAGCTGTTGGGTTCACGTCGGGAACTGTCAAGGTGCTAGATCCAGTCTCTCTCTCAGATATTGGAGCATCTTTCAAAAATGGAAAGGCAAAAATCCTTTTCCTTGAGTTTTCGCTAGACTCAAATTGGTTGGCAGCGGCAGATGCTGCGCACAGCGTTGCCCTCTGGAAAAAGGTTATCGTGCTAGAAACGGTCAGTCACGAGCCTCAAAATGATGCGCTCGCGCGTGATAGAGGCGAGCAGCACTCAGAGCTAGCTTCTCTTAGTGCTCAGCATGCTAATATGGCCACATGGGTGTATATCGGCCGATACTTCTCACATTCGAGACCAGTGACCGGGCTCAAATTCGGACGTCGAGAGACTGATGTCATGGTCTTGGTGTCGGTTGCCGAAGACAAAAAGCTCGTTGAATACAATCTTGCGAGCAGCACGGTTGACAGTGGTGTTTTGATCGCAGGCATATACTCTATTGAGGAGGGCGCTACTCCTACTGCATGTTTGTGGCACCCTCCTCTACACGGTGATTTTGAGGAGAGAATTATAACCGCCAACTCGGAATTCAAGTTACGGCAGTGGAATGCTGACAATAAGTTGTGTCGTAGAACGTCATTAAGCCCAACGTTTGGTGGCCCGGCCAGCGGCCTCGAAGCACTTGGCAAATCAGAAGGCCAGTCTGACTTTCTGGCGTACAGCGCAGAGTCCAAGGTTGTCGGTATAATCAAACTACCGTTGGATGGCAATCCAAATAAATCTATGGGCATCATTGCCCACCCTGGGAACTTGTCGGGGATTGCTGCAACTTCTTGTGGGCAGCAGTTGTTCACCGCAGGCGGAAACGATCAGACTGTCAACTTTTGGTCAGTCCAAAGGGCAATGGTCGATGCACTTGAGGCCGCCGGTGGCAGGGCAATGGAGCCATACCTCGCATCTTTGCCCGTTGGTGCGGAACAGGATGTCTATGAAAAGATGGTGGATTATTTTTATTACTTACAGCTCCGCAGACAGGGTGAGGAAACAACAACATCCCGAAAGGTCCTGGGTGCCATCCATCTCAGTGATGTGCCGCGCCTCATGCGAGCGATTGGCTACTACCCATCAGAACAAGAAGTAGTCAATATCATCTCTGAGATTAAATACTCCACTTTCACAACATCAGGCCAAATAACGGAGAGTGTCGATCTTCACACTTTTATTCGCTTGTATGTTAATCATCGGCCAGTTTCCGGCGTCAAAATGCACCAAATTCATCAGGCGTTAGCTGTAATACACGCACGTATCAGCCCGGGAATAGACGCGGATTATTCAACGAACCCCCTTTCCTGGAGACAGCTTCAGACAATGTTGGAATCGTGTGGTGAGAAATTTTCACATCAGGAGCTCTCGGCATGTCTGCTCGCATTGAATGGGGATCCGCGGCAGCCGTCGATGTTGACAATACCTCGGATTGTGACTGACATCCTCGGCTTCAAGGAAGACTCAAAGTAGTGCTTCATTCCGTGGCACATTGCCACCCACTAAACTTTCACCGCTGGGCGCTTTCTGCCCGTGCCCATGCATACAAAGTACTTCAGGATGAAATTCCGGCGGGTGCTTGGAAGGTTCACGATAGCTACTCCGCTTCCCTTAGTTAACAGGCTAGTGGTAGTTGTCAACGGCCAAGTGGACGGAAATTGCCTTCGTGCTCATAGATGTATTTAAGCAACAAGTTAGCGGGCTACGAGTTGCTGAGTCAAGATGACTCATCATTTCGCGTCGGCCCCAAGACTGGCTCTGGACCATTCATGTCACGCTGCATGCCCTCAGATATGCCACCGGGTTGCCCACAGACGAGTTGTCCTCTTCAGCAGGTTCTGCGTGTCCCCCTAATGTTCAACGGAGACACACACACACCGCCCACTCCAACACCCGCCGGCTGGACGACCGGCCACGCAGTGGGCTTTGGAAGTGAAAACAACCAAACTCCCCAGTGTTGTACTTTTCTTATGTGTGTGGAAGCTGAGCTTGAGGGGCGGTAGCATGGCGCTCTGCTGCGTCTGTGGTGCCTGTCGGCACGGGTCGTAACTTGAACTATATTTGCTCGGTTGTTGCGTACGCTCGGCCGTGGCATCATTATGTCGCAGCACGACCTCGGTTTCCGACTCGGGCATCCGATGCAGCGGCTCCAGGACTCAGCGCGGTCTGTGGACCTTGCCGCGCCTCGGGCCCGGCTGCGAGTCGCTCGGGAAAGACCATCGGCCGAAGGCGAGCAGCTAAGTTCGCGTCGGGGCAGCCCATGGATGACGAGAACGGCCGTTGGTGGCGGGGAGCGACCGGCGAGGGGCCCGCTGGCGACTTAGAGAGGGCTCAACTCGCGTTGTCTGTGACGCGGTTACTCCTTCTTAAGTAGCTCACTGTAGGTCCATAACCAGCAGGCTAAGGGCAGTCTTAAGAAGAAGGCTACTCTCGTAGACCCGGGCACGATACCGCACGGATAAACTGTCAGCGAGGTTATTATAATATACGAAGACAGGAAGGGAGGGAAGTACCAGGAGGTAGGATACTGGCTGCTCATTATTCGCCCATGCTTGGAAAATAACCCACGCCGCCGCGGACCCCGGGAAAGCAGCGAGCTGAGAGAGGACCACCACAACCAGGAGTTTAGTTTTTGGCTGGATGATGATAGGTGGTCTAACTCATTAACTCGTCACCGGAAACATTAGTACTAGTACCGTAAATGCAATTTTAACGCCCACTAATTAGTCAAAATATGAAGGACCTTATTTTAGTGGCGAAGCACGCCTTCGGACACGGATCCCGGTGCAATCACGTCGACATCGTTACCGTGCCCGATGAACATGGAGGCGGCAAGGAACACATTTTACATCCCGTCGGTCAGCACGTCGCCCTCACGAGAATCGAG